CCCTAGGCTTTTTTCACTCATAAAGAGGGATGTATTTATCATTCCTTTTGAATTGTACTTCAATCTTCACTATCTTTTTGGTCAGCTCATCTATTTGAGTCATTAATGCGGCTAAATCATTTTCTACTTCTTCGATCGTTTCAGCCATATGATGAAGCATCTAGGTTGCTATCACATATAGTTGTTTTTCAATACCCCCAGAAATGAGTTGGTTGAACAATACCTTATTTTTGGACCAACACTTCCGTAGAAATAGTCTAAGAGGGCTATATCAGGAATGCCATGAGTTACGCCCTGAGTTATTAGTTATTTATACCTCGCCCATGACTCATGGATTCGTCCACCCTCCAATGGTATGAATGATAGTGTGCGACCCCGAAGCATCATTACTTTTAATTGTGGAAACTTGATTAGCTTGCAAGTTTCGCTCGATATAGTCACTTCCTCTACCTTAAAGAACAAACAAACAAACCAAAATTGAAAATTAAGTTAGTGAACTAAGATTTGCTAGAAAAGAATTTAACTTAACGAAATTTTGATCAACAACTTCATCAAAGATACTTCATCCAATTCATCATATCGACGATCGTTAGTCAGTATATAACCCAACCAAGGGTTGGGATCATTCCCTTAGGGAGTGATATTAGGAATATTTTTGCCCAGCATAAATTAAGTAATGTTAGTCATAGCTACAAAAAAATTATCAAACAAGAACATAATAAATTAGAGGCCGTGACACTAGTGACAATTTACAATGGGGGGGGGGGGGTTGTAGACGAATTAACAACTAAAAACAATAAGTGAAACTAATAGGAAAACGGGATTCTTAGGATGTGACCGAAAGATAAGACAAAAGACATTGTAGGGTAGTTTCTATTGATCGTACATTGGTGAATATAAGTAACTAGGCTAGACTTTAGTGGGGGAAAATTCTCTCTTGAGCAGCTTACCCCAAGTAAAGTCGGTTTCTCTCGAACACCACGTTGAAGCCTTAGCACAACCTCTGCCTCAGCTCAATCACTCTCTTGAACTGAAAGTGTGGGAGAAGGTTTAGGATTAACTCTCTCAAGATGAACCCATGAAGACCCAATAACCAGCGACTATCAATTAGTAATCTTAGTTTTGAAACCTCTCTCTCGAGCACGCAAAAAACATTAAGATGAAATTGTACTTGCAACTTCAACCTCATTTAGTTAAAAAAAAGTAATAAATGAGATCATATTTAAACAACAAATATAGTAACAATAAGCAACACCCAACCATAGATTTAAATCATATCCACAAAAGCACACCCTAAGAATTAGGGTTTTAGCTAGGAATGGAGGAAAGGAAAGAATCTTCAAATATCTTAAGATCAAGAGAAAAGTTCCCCAAAAGCTTTGAAAAACTCAAACAGAAGCTAATTCTAGAAATTACTTTTCAAAACTACAAAATTTGATAGTAAGTATTGACGCCCATTTTTTGACCTCCACGATATAAATTAATCATCGAGCTACTTCATTTTCAAATGAGTTAGAATAACTCAATTTATAAAAGAATCCAAATATTTTCAAGATATTTAAAAGTAATTCTAGACATTTTATAATAGATATCTTGTGCGCACGCACGCTCTATGTGTGTGCGCGCATGCATGTATGTGTGCGCCTGTGTGCGTGCGTGCGTGCGTGTGCACGTGTATGTTTGAGTTTGTGAGTTTCAATAGTATAAGTTATGTGAGTGTGAGTAATTTACTGTTTTTTATTGTATAGGATCCTTCAAAATTCGAACTAATGTCTTAGTACACGTGTTAATCGTTCACAACTTTAATATCTTGCTATGTTCACATCTCAAAAATCTTGTTTCTAGCAGTATTAGTTGTGTATTCTTAGTTATCTTTCATGTCAAGTTAGTAGTTTCAAATATGTTAATATAAGCTTACATATAATAAATTAGTTAATGGTCACATGTGACTACCTTTGTTGTTAATCCATATGTTATTCTCATATTTAATCCCTGTTTCCTAGTCTAACTTTTGTTTTAATTACCTTTAGTCATGTTATAACTCTATGTGGTTCCTAGTTTAGTATTGTTTTAAGATGTGGGTTATTATAATATGTCGATTATTTCTATATCGATAATTATCTAGATGTGTGATAATGAATAGTTTTGCCATTTATTATTACTGTCCAATATACCTTTGTGTGATTCCCTTTTGTAGGATTGTATGTTGATGTGCACTTTTCATGAGTTAAAGCATATTTTCCAGTAAGTTAGCTTAATTTTTCATATTACATTAGTTGGATCATATATAAACTCTTAACCTTTATTTATGATGCATATAAATCTGCCCGAGTTCATTATGAACTCCTATTTTTTATTACACGTATTTTGAGAGGGCCCTAAAGACTCAAACCCTTTCGCTTGAGTCGGTGAGCCTTTGGAACTGAGGAACAGGTCAGAACAGAAGCAAAACACATTCTGAAACAGAGATACAAGTCTCCAAAAGCTCAAAGAAAGGACTGTATAAACTAGCATACATGGAGTAATTTGATTTACAGGTCAAAAATACAGGTGTTAGGAAGCTGATTTAGGTTGTTTACATATAATATACAATCCTGTATACACGAAAAAAAATCCATAATGCGGCATATATAAAACAATATACCTTTGTTGTAGACACATGTTTTGGGAGCGAAAATGGCACCAAAAGAATGGTCCAGCAACTAAATTTTGTTTAGACAGACCCAACTCATGTTTTTGATATTTTATAGAAAAGGTTCATGGATTTGGGTCAAATTCCCAAATGTAATACTTCCACCCTTTTCCTCTTTATTTATTTGTTCTTGTGTTAACTAACATTATAGTTGTTTTTTTGTTTGACTTTATTATTTACCAAAAGATAGTCATTTCTCCTTTCATATTCAAATCGAAATATCTATATTTTATACTTACCTTTTGTTTTTAGTATTTTGTCTTGCAAATATTTGAATTAATAATAAAAATGGGTTCTATTACTTGATTAATATTTTTCTCAAAAATAGTCAAAATCATTTTAGTCAAATTGCCACAACCAAAAGTTAGCGAGCGTTTTGAGGGCCTAATACCTTTTCGGGATGTAAATTGAACTTCGAACCCTTTTATCTTCAATCGATTTTATCTGTTTAAGTCTTTCAAAAACTTTAAGCTTTTTCTTGATTTTTACTATAAATTATTTGTTGAATGTGCATGGACTAGAGAAGTACGACAAGCATTGTTTAGATGGTCAGGAATTTCATTCCAATGTCAAATCATCCAATAAACTTTGCAATGGTTGTAGAGAAGGAACTGGAAAAAGTTTCATAAGAAGGTGGCAGCTGCAATCTTTGGAGCGGTGATTTATCATATATGGAAAGCTAGGAATTTGAATAACTTCAATAATTTGTTGCTTGAAGCTGTGGAGGTGAGCAACCAAATGAAAAAAGAGGTGCAGGAAATAATATGATGCCAAAAGAGAACAAAAAGAGCTTATAGTTGTAGGAATTTAATACAGATGCTAGAAGGATAGAAATGAGGCAATGTATAGTTACGTACTGAGGCACTAGTAGTCCAAAACCTTGCTAGGACAAAGTTGGATCTAGTGTGCTCTTTAGATTGTTATTTCTTAGTTTGTTGAGGTAATATATTTACAGTTTATTTCCAAAAAAGGGTTTAGTCGATTTTTTGAAAACTTAGTCATTTTTCTTTTCTTTTATTTCTCGATGAAAAACAAGAAGCTCAAAACATTAATGAGTATTTATAGTTTCAAAAAATTGTGTTGCGAAGAACCATTTAGCACACTTAGTCTGGTTCGCTAATCAACTCAGTGATCCACCCTTTCGTGTATTCATCACCATCTTGTGTAAGCCTACAATATCTTCACCATTTTGGATCATTGGGCAACATAATACGTCTTCACAAAAATGCTCGGTGACACGTTGAATGCTCCTCTTTACCACCGATTTGATCCTTTCCTTCAAGGCTCAGCTCTCTGAACAAAAGTCCAGGCTGAGACCTTTTGGCGACATGTCGAACGGGTTCGGCGATTTCTCAAGTCTTCCCTTCTTTGTTCTTTCAGTTGTCTCTATTCGTTTTTCCTTGATTGTGTCCATGCTTTGTCTCCAAGTCTATATACATGATACTCAAGGTATTTTATCATTTTTAGAAAGAAAATATGCATTTGAGGACACTAAACCTATTAAAATATAGCCCTAAATGAGTCCAAATCATGTACTCATTAGTGCCCCTAATAAACAAGAATTCAACAAGTATCTTTTGATTCTTCCAAAAGTATTTCGACATGATTTATCCTAGTTGAAAGGAGCATCTTTATTTATTGAATGGTTGAACGGTGTCACGACCCAAGGGTACACACTAGATGTAGCATGGTGAACTTCACCCCAAAGGAGTATCATACAAGCTCATAAAACATATCATAATATAGGTAGCAGAAAATAGGATGAGTATCTAAAAGAAGATTTATACTAAAGTCTATCTCTCTCTTAGGACGAACTCCAGGAACATTATCTGGAAAGACTTCTAGAAACTCTTTTACTACTGGAATTGACTGAATATGAGGTATATCAATACTAGAGTCATTAACTCATACTTAGTGATAGACACACCCATTAGAAACTAACTTCCTCGTCTTAAGGTATGAAATGAAACAACCCTTTGGCAATACAAAACTACTTTTCCAATCTAAGACTAGCTCATTTTGGAATTGAACCTTGACTACTCAAGTTCGACAATCAACTAAGTCGTAACATGCATGAAGACAGTCCACACCATGGATGACATTAAAGTCTACTATGTCTAAATCAATTAAATCAGCCATCGTACTCTTGTAATTGACAAAAATAGGACAATCACGATAGACTTTTTATCCTAGAATGAGACTCTTTATCCTAGAATGGACTCACCAACAGGTGTAGAAAATCTAAATGTTTCACTAAGTTGCTCAGGAATAATATCAAAGTTCATGAAAACATATGGATTTACAAAAGTTAAACACGATCTTCGTCTAGCAATGCATAAACAGTAATGTCAAAGACTTCAATCATACCAGTGAGAACATCTGGCGAATTCTCATGCTCTTGGAGATTGTTGAGGGCATATAAGCGATTTGTTCTCACGCCAGTACCGAAAGTGTCTCCCCTTGGTGCAGCCCTGTTTGGTGGACAAACCGATGAAGATTGGGCTCTATTGCCCCCACTTTCATTTATTTTCTTATTCTTTATACACTCTCTCATGAAATGCCCGGTCTGGTCATATTTGAAACAACTAGTGGAGCCCTCACAAAAAACACCAGAATTGTTTCTGCCACACTTGGCGATGACCGGAATCTTACTACCCCCTTGAAACACACTACCCTCTAAATATAAAGGTTTTACTCTGGAATTCTGACCATAGTACTCACCCTTGTTCTATAGGTGCACGTGCACTAATAGATGATGAAGAAGAACCTTTCTGTTTCTGTTGGAAGGATGACCTGTTAGCATTACTTTTCAGCTGCCCGACTCATTCCCTGACTTAGCTCTCTTGTTCTTGAACTCCTTTCTGTACCTTAGATTTTTTCCACTTCCACCTGCTGCACACATATCATCAACCTCTAGATGTCTGTGCCCCTAAAAGGCATTGTTGTATGGCCCTTTTTGCTTGAAGAACAATCCAATCCAACAACAAACAAACTCATCCTACTCTTCATGTTGTTAACCATTTTTGAATCATAAGAATATGGTTGAAATTCAATCCATACTCATGTACATTGAGAGAATATTGCTTAAGTGTGAAGAACTCACATAGCTTGGCCTATTTCAGTTCTGGGGTAAATAAATGCCCCAAGAAGTCCTCCTCATAGCAAGCTCAACTCGCAGGTGGTGCATCTTCATCTGTACCCTCCTTACACTTATCGAACCAAGTTCTAGTAATACCTTTGAGTTGATAAGAAACTACTTCAACTCTCTCAATAACAGAAACATGCATCACTTCAAACACCTTTTTCAGTTCCTCGGTGAAGTTCTCTAGATACTCAGTAGTGCTCGAAGCAGTGAAACTTGGGGGATGCATCCTCAAAAACTCATGAATCCTTGAAGTGTCGGCCCCTTCTTGTCGAGATCCTTTTTGCTAATGAACCTGATTTTCCATAGCCTGACTAAGAATCCTAATTGTCTATCTAAATTTGACATAAGTTACTTTTCCTTGGGGTTGCATTTTTGCTGCATTAGGTTCCCCTTGTTCCTCAACGTTCCTTCTAACTTGACGACCTCTTGCAGCTCTTTGTGGAGTCATGATTATCTTAAACCACCCTCAAGTACAAGTCATAGAGAAACTTCTTAGAGATAAAAATCTAACGCGCACAAGAGGTATGAAACACGTGAGGAAATTCCTAAATGTTGCAGCCTCCTAATTATAGATGTGACACGCTTCACACCGATAACTAGGACTGTACAAACACATATTCATACACTCCCTAGGATTGTTGAACTTTGTGTATTGATACCATTTTTTTCACGCCCCGAGCCTACACCCTGAACGTGACTGGCACTCGAAGACCATTGCTGGCCTCGAGTGGACCGTACCCTTTCCTAGCATATTTAATTCAGCGGAAGACAACAATCAATAACTATCATGATCAAATTTAATTGAACTAATAAAGCATACTAACTAAGAATGTGGTAAAGGTTTAAACCATTAATCTTGCCAAAAGTGGCAACTCAATTCTTAACAAATAGAAAGAAATGGAAAGACTAAAGGACTAACATCTGACCATCTATCTATGAAGCCTTCTAAAACTGAGATGGGTGTTGGGTCAGACCCACAATATCCTAATAAAGAAAATACTGAAAAAAAGCAATAATAGGAGTCCTTTAGGATGCGTGGAGGCTCACCAACTGACTCTGGAGTGCTCAACTAGATCAACGATGTGCCGGATGCCAATCATCGTTACCTGCATCTGCATCATAATATGATGCAAACCAACTAGAATCATACATTGAATATACGAGTATGCGAGTTGGAATGCTAAAACAACTTAAGCTTGATAAGAGTAATAATGAACACTTACCTTCGCTTTCCTCAACTCATGAATAATATAACTTAATAATATTGACTCATTTTAATAAAAAAACAACTTAAAAGCAAGTGCAATATAAAGAAAATTTATTTAAAAACATGATGTAAATTCTGAAGGCATACAAGGATGACTCTGAGATGTATATAAAAAAATAAACGTATGTATATATATAAATACATTTCACTTTTTTGGGAGTTTCTCTAATCGAAAACTATCACATAAGAGCAATAGCGATGATACAATTGTCTACCTTGCGCTGCCAGCGCATCCTATACCCGACCAAAGGTATAAAACCCGAACTTCCTAATGGATCCACTAGTCTACTATGAAAAGGGTTCTTCTAAAAAGTATGAAACTTTTCTACCCATAGTACCTACATGGTTTTATGGAGATGTGAGTTATTTGAACTCATGCTCGTCCCGATTTCGGTTCTCAGTACTACTCCAAAAATATATAGGCTCTAAATTATTAAAATATACTACTTTTGTATTATGAGATTAGAGCTCAAAAGACTTATCTCAAAGGCTATCTTGGAAATCTCAACTACCCTACTTGCTTCATTTAGAAATCTATTACTCTTATATGAAAACTAGCCAAAGGCTTATTGGAAAAGTCATTTCCCTTTTCTAAATGTGAAAACGTTTTTATACTTCCTTGGAAAAACTTGGTCTCCATATACTGCTTTGAAGAAAAGACTTCACCTTACTCTGAACTAAACTCAAACATAAGTCTTAAAACGACATTAAAAACTTTTTGAAAGACTTATGAAACTTGAAATGAACTTCTTCTTATATTTATTTTTTACTCAACTAGATCTTTAAGTCATAAAACAAGTTTAAATGCATTTGTGAAAAGACTTCTTGAAAGGACTTTAACAATTTTATATACTTGGCTCTAATCTTTCCTTCAATATGCAGTTATGTCAAGGTTTTAATTTATGTTTCTGGATTATTCTATATAATTAGAAACCACTTAGAGTAGTTGGAAGCATTAGGAAGTGTTAAAACACTTTAGAACAACTTAATCTGATTGAATTACAAAAACTGGGCGGAAAATGTTGATTGAGGCGCGTTCGGGGCTCGCCATGCAAACCTCATTTGACTGAGGCCCCTTTCTGGCACACCACCTCAGCCTTCCTGGCGCTATGGGGGCGCATCGCACCGACTCTTCCTTAGGCAAAAATCTGCCAAGCTTTTCACCTCATTTTCTAACCTTAAATTGTTTTACTTCGATTCTTTTTCTAAATTTAGCTTTAGATTCATGTGTCCACATCATGTACAAGGATATAACTTAATTAATTAAATAACAACACCTAGATCATCAAAGAACTCCTAAATTTCAACTCATGTTCAAGAACAAAAGCAATTCAAGAACAACATTCAAGAACATCCAAAAATTCTATCTTTTTATGATGAAATCATGCTGAACCAAACATGATTGGCACGTGGGTGCAAAAACCCAACGTTATCGAACACTCACACACCTTTTAGTAATCACCCCGATGAAATCCTTAAGTTAATTCGACGATCTTAGCGAATCTTACTCTCTTTCTTCTAATCCTCTTTTCTCCTTTCTCCAAGACCTAGCGTGGATCTCTTTTTCCTAAACTGAATGAAGTCTTGTTTTTACCCCAATTTAATCCCTAAAATGAATTGTTTAAATTAGGTAAGGAAAAACACTACTTTTCCCTTCCCAAATCCAGATTGGACTTTTCTTAATCGAACAACCCAGCTTAGGAAAGGCATAACTCACTCATATAATATCAAAATCGTGCAAACTTGGAGGCGTTGGAAAGTTTATTCTAATGGATTTCCAACCATATCTGGAACTACTCCTAATTCATCCTGAGCTAGGAGTTATAGTCCTTTTAAAATGACATAAATTCACTTTTCTAACTTAAACAAACTTTCCAGATTTTCTTATTCTTTCCAAAAATAAGTATTTTCATATTTTAAACTATTTTCTAGTTCTTTCTAGTTGCGAGGTATTACAGTTATATAGCTTATACCATAACAACAAGTTATCATTTTTGATGTAAATTGTAGCACAACATGGGGAAACTTTTTCATCAGTTTAATGTTCCTGTGTTATTGTTGGGTTATGCTTGCCTTTCTTTCTTTGTTTTATCTGATCTGGAAATAACATGTGTTGCACCAATTTGAAAGCAGCAAATAAATTTTCCAAGAAATAATTCATCAAATATAATGGGACCTCGAACCTTCGGTGATAAAGAACTATTGATCTTTTTGGATAGTACAAGGCTTGACATTTTTATATGGATGTAGTTGATTCACATAACTCCTTGTTGCTCTTGCTTTAGAAAGTGGTATCTAAATTGTTCACAAGTTGAGCAATATGAATTATTTTTTCATAAACGAATTTCTTCAAGGCTTCAGTGGTTGCTTCATCATTGCAAACTTCTCATCCAAATTAGTTGAGTAAGCCATCAAAGCATTGACATTCATTGAAGTTGTACAATCCATTGAATCTTCGGATTCACTAACGTTGGGTTCAATTTGAGAAAATTCTCCAAAGAACACGAATGCAAGATTTCCCCTAGGTGTTGAATTCACGACCATTGTATGAGAATTGTTGTTTTTCATCGTCTATGAAGATGTAAAGTATTCAGATCTACCTAGCCCACTATTCTTGAACTTACGCTGATTAATCGGGGCAACATGACTGATATCATCATGTAAGACACCAGTAGAGAGTTTGTATGAAAAATCACTACTCTTTATGAAGGTCATTGCAGTAGATGACTTTGTAGTTTTTGGTTTGTAAGAGAAAGAGATAAAGAGAAGAATCGTCGCAATGGGCGTGCCAAATTTGTTCACCAAAATATTCCGTAAGCGCTGAAAGTTAAATGCAAGAAAAATGAATAAAAGAAAATGTGATTTTTATTGAGGAATTGTGTGAGTACAATTTTTTTGTATCATTAATTCTTCTCTCCTAAGCTTCATCGAGATTCGAGGGTTGACCATTCCTTCGAAGAGTTATATAGTTGGGGTTGTTGGTTTCTCGCCAGTCCTTGTAGAATAGTTGTTGAAGAGTTTTCTTGATCCCCTAGAATCTTATGTCCATTTCCTATTTATAGTTCTAGGAGGTGGACAAGGTTGCGTATGATTGGCAAAAGGATGTCATTTTGACACATGGCATGTTGTATCAGTTCGTGCACATGAATAAGACTACCACCTTATTTGAACATGTGGCATCACCTTATTGGTCCTGGATGTCTACACTAATCTTGGGGTTTAAGGTTAAATGGACCTTGGATTTGAATTTAATTAAATGAATTTATTTATTTTTAAAACTAAAATTAATCATTCAGACAAAATGAGCACAAATTTAATCCAATAGAATTTGTGTATCTACAAAGTTATTTTGTTATACAAAAGATCTAGAAAATAATCGTAAAATAAAATAATATTTTATTTTATATTCAATTGTTGATGTTTATAATAATTTTTTTAAAAAAAATACATTATTCTTCATTAGCATTTTCATGTGACATTATTATTGACACAAGTCAAGCGGAATGAAATAGTTAAGTGTAAGTTAAGTAGGGAAAAAACATAAAGTCATATTGAAGTTGTCTCGAATTTTTTTAAAAAATATGTTTATTTTTCAGGTGTCCTATTACTCATAAATGTATTGAATATCTACGTAAAAGACCATTTTGATCCATATTCTCACCTTGTAAGACATGTGTGTGCATCCTATGGTATTGAATATCGTTCCAAAATTCTTGTGAATCTCTTTCATTTTATAGAAGTTTATTTCCTTTCTTAGCTTTCCATGTCTCTTCTATTTCTTGATCAAGTGACAGTGAAGTGGAGATCAATTGCTTCATTTTTTATGATTCTTGGTCAAATTTTTTGGAGGAATAGTTGAGTAAACAAGGAATTGAAGGTTAACAAAGTGAGTGTTTTCTTACATGATTTGGAAAAGATCATATTTTTAAGATGATATTAAGTCTTATCATAAAAATATCTTGATTTCTCAAAAAAAAAATTAAGAAGAAATTAAACCTTGAACAATTTCAAATTAAGGTTTTTGATTGCAAATTTCAAAGTGACTAGTTTTTGGGGGAAAATGATGAATTCATCAGAGTAAGTTCCAACGACACTTTTGAGCTTGTTTCAAAGAAGATGACGAATTCAAATAAAGTAAATTAATAAAGAAAAAAACTGAAACGTGATACCATTTAATTTTT